ACAGCGGCCACATCCTGGTACGAGGAGTTCCGGCGGCTCTATGACACGGTGCCCTGCGTGGAGGTGCAGACGCTCCGGGAGCACACGGACCAGGTCCTGCACCTCAGCTTCTCCCACTCGGGCTACCAGTTTGCGTCCTGCTCCAAAGACTGCACCGTGAAGGTGAGGGCCGCCCAGAGCTGGGGCTGGGGCAGGCAGGTCCCGCCTTGACACAGGGAGGGGCGGGCCGGCCATGGGTGAGAGTGCCAGGCGGCCTCATCCCCGTGGAGAGGGCAGGTCAGGACCAGCCAGGCCCAGAGGCTGGACTGGAGAGGCCAGAGCTGCCAACAGGGAGGAGGGTCCCGCTGGAAGCCTGCTGCTCCAGACCTGAGCCTGGGCACCTGCGTGGGCCGGACGGCCAGGGCTCGCAGCGTGTCCCCGTGCCTGACCCTCCCCGCCCCCACAGATCTGGAACAACGACCTGACCATCTCGCTGCTGCACAGCGCAGACATGCGGCCCTACAACTGGAGCTACACACAGTTCTCCCAGTTCAACCAGGACGACTCGCTGCTGCTGGCCTCGGGGGTGTTCCTGGGGCCCCACAACTCCTCCTCCGGGGAGATTGCGGTCATCAGCCTAGGTGAGAGCGGGCCTGGGGCAACTGGCCCGGCCCCAGCCCCCTGCCCCCAGCTTCTTCCACTGCCCACCGCCCCTCCCGTAGCCCAGCCTCCTGCCCAGCCCCCGCTCCTCCCCAGACACCTTCGTGCTGCTGTCCCGAGTGCGCAACAAGCCCTACGACGTGTTCGGCTGCTGGCTCACCGAGACCAGCCTCATCTCCGGCAACCTGCACCGCATCGGGGACATCACCTCCTGCTCCGTGCTCTGGCTCAACAACGCCTTCCAGGTGAGGGGGCCCTGAGGTTGGCGGGCGGCCCTGAGGTTGGCGAGCGGCCCCGGGTGGCAGTGCCATTCCCCAACTGCCGGTCACCTGCCGCCTGCGCCCCCCTCACCCCCAGGATGTTGAGTCTGAGAACGTCAACGTGGTGAAGCGGCTCTTTAAGATTCAGAACCTCAACGCCAGCACCATCCGCACGGTGATGGTGGCCGACTGCGGCCGCTTTGACAGCCCCGACCTCCTGCTGGACACCAGCGCGCCCCCGGGCCACGTCTTCGACCTGAGCAGTGATGG